ACCTTCCACCTCTTCCTGCTTCTTCTCCTGGGGCTTCGCATCCTTCTGTTCTTCCTTCTTCTCCTGATCTTCCTTCTTCTCTGGTTCATGACCTTCCTTCTCCTCTTCCTGCTTCTCCTCTGGCTTCGGGTCCTTCTGGTCTTCCTTCTTCTCACCTTCCTTCACCTCTTCCTGCTTCTTCTCCTCAGGCTTCAAGTCCTTCTGGTCTTCCTTCTTTGGTTCATGACGTTCGATCACCTGTTCCGGCTTCATCTCCTCGGGCTTCGGGTCCTGATCTTCCTTCTTCTTCTCCTCTGGCTTCGGGTCCTTCTGGTCTTCCTTCGTCTCACCTTCCTTAACTTCTTCCTGCTTCTTCTCCTCAGGCTTCGAGTCCTTCTGGTCTTCCTTCTCTGGTTCATGACCCTCCTTCTCCTCACGGTCTCTTTCCATTTGCTGACCCATTTGTTCTAGGAATTCACCCCACTTGTTCACGGAATTTTGGCGGAACGTCCTGTCAAAGGTGTTGGGTCGGTAATAACGTTGCCTCCTCCACCAACCTTCATCCTCCTCTTCTTCGTTTGGCCATCCCTTGCACTCATAGTAGTCATCCCATGACCAGCTTTTGTCCCACCATCCTGAGCTTCTATCATGCCAACCACCCCAACCATATTGTCCACGCTGCCACCCTCCTTGATCCTGGCGGGCGTGCTCGTCCAGGCTCAAGCGCTCAAAGTCGAGCATTGTCGGTGCAACTTCAGGACTCCATTCACTCTCGACAGAGTGACCCCTGAACAGTTGAGTGCTTGGTAGGTCGCGGCTTCTCCTGTAAGCCTTTCGCTCTTCTTCTGTGTCGTTTAACTTCTGGCTTTTTGCACTTTCTTCAAGTGCCTTGTCCTCTGCTCTTCGCTTCCTTACCTCCGCTAAAGCTGTCTCAACCGATCGTGGGCTCGCTGGGATAGTCTCCTGTGAATCCATGGACGTGAAAGTGGTCCCGGTTGGAGTAGAGCTTGTACTACTTGTACCAGAACCTGTCCGAGAAAAGAGTGATGGACCTAGATCGATCGATCCAGTTTTGGTTGTACTCACGCGGCATGAGCTCACTTTATGTGATATGCGACTTAAGACAACACGGGTGATTACTGGCAATCTTGTCAGAGTCAGGCCTGTTGTTGTTTCGGTCTTTGGGCTGGGGGCAACCTCTTCATTAGGCCTCATGTTGTCGACCACGATTGGACGTCCTATACTAGCACTGAGTCACGAGTCATGTGCTTGATTTGTTGGGGATACATCAATGGACTGTGCAGGCATCTCTTGGGATCGCACGTGGCCACAATGACCTTTGCAGCTCTTGCCTTCGCCCGTGCTAAAGCCTCTTGGACTTTCGCTGACATCCCTGCAAAGTCCCAAAGCCTTATGAAAAGTTAGGATCCTGAGCCCAAAGGGCTCCAAGTGTAGCTGTCATTCATGCCGTTGTTTCGTGTTTGAAAGTGGAGTGATTTGGAGGCCCATGTTTCACGGTGCTTTCACGCTACAGGAGGTGCGTTCACGCTATATCGAGTGCGTCTCACGCAAGTTCACGCGATTTCACGCGACCCCACTTAACCCAGAAAATTTGCGGGATCAGAACTGTTGGGGTGAATCATAACATATCGAGAACAAATTCCAGTTGATGTGGGTGAGTCATGAACAAATACCATTTGATGTGGCAAAGACCGTTTTACC